CGTTTGGGAGGGTGATCAAGACCCACCCATTCACCAAAAGACCGAATGAACCAGAATTGCACAACGTGCGCTTCGATTTGGAGCCCAGCGCAATGCACAGATACACCCCGTACTTGATTATCGGGATTCCCGATGGCAAAGACACACAGGTAACAGTGGAAGTGGCGTGTGCAACAACTGACTGGTGTCCTGTCTGTAAGCAATACTTTCATTCTGAGGACGACCCAGACTGTCCGGGTAGGAAGAGAGCTCAGAGATCCAACACGGAGGAAAAGGAGAAAGATTACTCAGATGACTATGAGACGTGGCTAGAAGAGAAGGAAAAAGAGAAAGAGAGGGAAAGGGAGCTTGAAGAGGCAAGGGAAAGAGAGAGACAACAAGAGGAAGTGAAACGAAGAGAGAGGGAACTGGAGAGACAACGTGAAGAGGAAGAAAGACGGAGAGAGGAAAGACGATTGGAGGAAGAGAGGGAGAGACTGAGATTGGAGGAAATGGAAAAGGAAAAGATGAAGGCTCGAGAAAGAGAGAAAGAAAGGGAAAGGCAGAAGGAATTGGAAAGATTGCGGGAGAGAGAGATGGAATTGGAGAGGGAAAGAGAGAGGGAAAGAGTTATTGAACTGCAAAGGGAAAGGGAAGCTGTAAAAGAGTGGAGCAGAAAAGAAGATCGAAGGGAAGAAAGGGAGAGGAGTTGGGGCTCAGATGGCGATAGATCTCCTTACTTGGCAAAAGGGGGCGGGACCGGGAGGAGAGAAGGAAGGGAGAGGGAGAGATCCCCTATCCTCGCACATTAAGCAAGCATAGTCCGACTGCGTCCCTACCATTCTCGCACGCAGGGCAAGATCCGAGTATCGAGGACAGAGACAGGGAACTCTTGCCCCATGTGGCCGGAGTCCCTAGCTTCAGGAACATGCAAACAACGGTAGATCTAAACGGGGACCCAACGGACGACGAGGAAGGGGAAGTGAGAATACCTCTGTTCGGGGAGGGAGATCTCCTCGCAGAAGGTAACTCGCTGGACACCGATTTGGAAGAGCAGATGACCGACCCTTTGCTGTCAGAACTGGTAGTCACCTCACAATCCCGATTGGTGGAGGAAAAATCGAACTCAGGTCCTGAGACCTCTATGAGGAAATTACGTAAGGGGGCACTCAGACCTGCACCGTACTCTCCAGATACACAGGGGAAGAAAGCCGCAAGGAATAAAGGAAAAGTGGGCGAGCTGCACCAAGTTCTGGCAAAAGCTCGCCCGATGACTACGGCTTCTAGAAATGAAAAAGGAAAGGTCGACAGCTTCCTGGTGCCCTTGATCTGCCTGCCATCGAGTCAAGGTCCGCTTTTGTTGACAAAACAAGCTCCTAACTCTCCAATTGAGCTACCAATTTATAAGGTAGAAGGATCGTCGCTCGCCTCCTATTTTGTGGACGCAGCTAAGCACTTCACTAATAATGCAGGCCTGGTGGGGTATATACCTGAACCACGTATGGGGAGGCAAACAGCGAGGCCAGGGGGAGGGGCCAGGGTCAACCTGTTCTTCTCCTTCCTAAATTTGCACTTTGAGAAAGATGCACTGGAAACCCTGAAACCAATGAGCCCACATTGGATCCCTATAGAGGCTTTCATTACTCCGGGTAGTGAGATTCCAAAGCAGGTTCGACTTTCTGAGAAACTGACAGGGCAGGAAATCGCGGACTGGGTACAACACTCGGATCTGAAAGAAGTATTGTTGTCAACTAATTTTTCAGAAGTGCTGCAATACCCATGGCACCTGGACAGGCAAGACGAAGACGACTTAGATCCCGGCAAGAAGATAACAGATATGCAGCAGCGCCATATCCAAAAACCAGGCGGACCAAGGGTACAGCCCTATGGTCCTACCAAGTAAGATCCGAGTAGTTTCTTGGAACTTACAAGGGTTGGGTGAAACGACACATAGACACAAGCGCAGTCGTCTGGCGTCTTGGTGTCATTCAGAAGCGGTACACGTGATCTGTATTCAGGAAACGAAGCTAAACGCCCGGAAATTAACTGAGGCGAGGAATTGGTGGAGGGGTCCACAGCACTGGGCGCCGGCAGATGGCACAAAGGGAGGCACGGCTATATTGTTTCACAAGGATTTGGACATTGAAGTTAAAGACTCTTTTAATGATGCGAAGGGTCGGTTCGTATGGGTGAAATTTGCGCTGGGTGATGAGGATTGGGCCATTATGTCCATTTACGCCCCTGTTGACTATAAGGAGAGAATATTTTTTTTCGCAGATTTACCAACATTTGTCCCAGACACAGAACATGTGCTGTTAGCAGCCGACTTGAATACGGTCCTGACCCCAGGACTAGATACCCCGAAGCTGGACCCCTTGAGAGCAGACTCTAAATTACTGTGGGAATTTATGGGATCACAAAATCTGACTGATGTTTATCGTGTCATGAACCCGGAGTCTAATGGGTTCACGTGGTTCGGTTCTTCATCAGCAGGCAGGAGGCTTGACTTCCTCCTCGCTAGAGGTGTGATTTGGGACCGTTGCATTTGGTCTGACGTTAAGATAGAGTCACTTTCGGATCATTATCCAGTAATGATGGACATGTTGTCAGGGGAACATGTGGAAAGGGTACGAGGTCCGTTTCGTCTTAATACTAGTAATCCAAAAGACAAGGGTATCAAGAACTGGGTGACGAAACATATGGTAGACTGGCAAAAGGTGAAAATCTTCTTTCAAAAAGAAGAGGACTGGACTGATGTGGGGTTAAAAATTATATCGGAAACGCTTGAAGTATTTTCGCAAATCAAGGCCGGCAATAGAAACAGAAAAGAAAAACAGTTGAAAGGTGACACTTATGCATTTCATTTCTGGTCGGACAAGCGCAAGGAGCTGTTGCTAGAGTTAGAAGCAATCGAAGTGCAAAGACAGGCTCAGTGGTTAGAATGGCTTAATCTCAGAGGGATAACAGGTTACGACAGGATGACGAAAATCACGTTTAGGACCCTGATCTTACAACAGACAAGGCCGTTATTGAGACAGTTAAAACACCCTACCTTAACGAACCTACCGGTAGCAGAATCGACACAGCAGATGTGTGAGTATGCGCGTGATTATTTCGCAGACATACTCACCTCCAGATACCCAAGCACAAACTTTGACACAGACCTCACACTTAGTTCAGACTTCTGGGACAGGACGAATATTGCGATTTCCCGACAGGGGAGGCTTGACTTGGATAGGCCATTCACAGTAGAAGAACTGGGCGAAGCAACTAAAGAGCTAAAGAGGGCTAAGTGTCCGGGTTCGGATGGGCTCCCGGTGGAGTTCTACTTGGAAACATGGGACTCACTGGGCCCTTTTCTCACTGATATGTGCAACAGGCTATTATCAGGAGGGGCATTACCGAGAGGTCTCACGCAAGGGATCATAACACTTATGTATAAAAAAGGGGACAAAAGAAAAGTAAAAAATTATCGCCCGATCTCACTACTGAACGTTGCCTATAAAATTCTGGCGAAAGTCTTGGCTCGACGTCTGGCGAAGTACCTACCAGAGGTTGTAGGCCCGGATCAGGGGGCCTTTGTGAAGAGTCGCTCAATACATGAGAACATTCTGACTACCATCCAAGCCTTGGAAGTCATAGCAGCAGAAAATAGGAACGTGGCCACCCTTCTGCTAGATATGGATAAAGCATATGATAAGGTTGGGTGGGCTTTCGTATCCACCACTTTGAAGAAGATGAATTTTGGAACAAACTTTCT